CCATTTTTTAAACTTTATATTATCATCACTAGCAGTGAGTGGATTTTGTCCAGTCTGAAGGCAGCACATTATTTCACTTGGAGAGCTCTCCCTTTCCAGTTCTAATAGATGAAAATAAATAAATAAAAGAAACCCAGCAGTGCAGTTTGCAGTCTTTATTAGTGGAAGGGAGCAAGAATCCAGTAGCACCTTAATGACTAACAAAATTTGTTCAGGGCATGAGCTTTCATGAGTCACTGCTCACTTCTTCAGATCCCAAATGACAATAGCAGCCATTAGTACTGAGAAAAGAAACCTAGGTCTCAATTCAGCTCAGGAGGATGCATTGAGCTTCATTATCAGTTGCAATTCGGCAGTTCTTCTCTCTAATCTCCCTTTGAAATTCTTTTGTAAGAAAACTGCTACTCTTAGGTCAGCAACTGAATGTACTGGAAGATTAAAATGTCCCCCCACTGGGTTTTGAATGTGGTTTCTTATAGCTATAGAAAGAGTAAGTGTAGCACCTTGAAGACTAACAAAATTTGTGTCAGGGTATGAGCTTTCGTTAGTCACTGCTCACTTATGTCCATTTATTCTTTGCATCCTCCTGGACTGAATCCTCCTGGACCAAACAGAGACCTAAGTTTCCTGTGTCATTACCAATGATCATATGTCCATGCATACTACCCCTCTGCAACCGAGCCTATTGCCATTCAGCATCTGAAATCATCTTTCTAAAGTTTTTATCTCCGGTACCTCATGTTACATTTCATGGCACACATGGTCCGGCCCGACAAAGTGACATTTATGTCCTATCCGGCCCTTGTAACAAATGAGTTCAACACCTCTGCTTTAATGCTTGCTTTCTTGCATATCATTTTTCCACTGGTTAAGTCATTCAGTCAGACTTCCTGACCTTGTGTGTGTTTACTTGAAAGTAAGTACCTATGAGATTTGCTGTAAGGCAAATGTCTGTGTATTGCAATTTAGTAAGTCACATTCAACTCAGTAGAACATTTTGCAAAGATTTCTAGCATGACATTTCCAAATATTAGGGCCAGTCTTCACAAACCTTGTTAGGATTTATGGCTTATGTATGGTAATTTGTATTTTAATGGGGAAGAATCAGCCTGGCATGCAAAATTACCCATGCTGCTGTAGCTATCACTGTTTTTAGACAACATACTTTCATGTGGAAAGCAGAAATACAACAGGGGCAGAATTCCCTATTGTGGTGTTGTAGTACTTGGACATGGAACACTTGCATTTGTGCTTGTATTGGCATAGGAAGTACTATAAGAGAGACAACCCTAGCCTTGACCCATGACATAGCCCTTCCTGGCTATTATGTTCTTTATCACTTTTTGTCCCTCCATTCCGGTCTTCAGATATAAAGCCAGAGGACCTGAAGGATAAGGCCTTTTCAGTTGGGGCTTCCCACCAAAAACCCTTGAATAGACTCGATTTCTCCGTCATTTTGGTCTCTTGTCACTTTCTGTTTGTAGGCATCATGCTAAGACTTTTCCCAGCAAGCTTTTAAATAATGGATGATTCCTCATTTGCCTCAGTGCTGGTGTACTGTTTGCCAGTCCTTTGTTACAGATGCTGCTATTTTAATTTTTGTGTTATAATTAGATTTAATTCTTTTGGTGTCTGCTTTTAATTTTTCTGTGAATCTAATAATTTTTTATTATGTTGTGACTCTCTGTGGAGAGGTGGCTTGCAAATATTTTAAATAAATTATAAATAAATAAATAATGATTGTAAATAAAACAGGACTGCATGTTGTGGATTACATGACCTGAATGCTACTCCATATAAAAAGCTTCTATGCATGTAGGAAACTAGATGTCAGAAGAGCATCACAGTCTAGTCTTCTTACTGCTGCTCTTGCTTTCTGTATGAGATCATAAATTTAATGGGTTGGCATTTAGTCATATTTTTTCACTTCCAATCTGAAGCGGCATATTCCAGGAACACCTTGACCTTTCAATGAGTAGTTTTTCTAGAGGGCTTCTTAGATAGCTTTATGCTACTGGAATGGAGCTGCTGGCACTTTTGGATCTATCTAAAAATGGGAGCAATTTTCATGATCCTCCAAGTACTACAACTAGCATATGAAAGACAACAAAAGAATTTGTCATTCTAGCCAATCAGAGATCCCACTGTGAATGGATCACCCATGTGAACAGGAAACTTGCTTTTAATCAGTTCCATTTGTCCTCAGTGATGTCAGCACATAGCCAAAATCTTACTGGCTGTGCATCCTCCTGATATTTACGGTGTGATCTTAGACTTGCTGGTACAACTCTTGAAAGAAAAAAAAACTAACTAAGGAAAAAAAGCCAGCATATTGGAAGCATATTAACAAAGAATGGGGTCAGAAAGCAATTTTCTGTAGTCCAGTTTGGCCAGGGATCCTGGCAGGGTTTTTTTTTGCCATCTTCTGGGCATGGAGCAGGGGTCACTGGGGGTGTAGGGACAGGTAGTTGTGAATTTCTTGCATTGTGCATGGGGTTGGGCTAGATGACCCTGGCGTTCCCTTCCAACTCTGTGATTCTATGAATGACATATGTTCTATACATGAAGAGTGATTTTAAGAAATAAGGGAGGAACCCCCCCCCCCGCAAACAATACTTTCACCCTTCTATGAGGGAATGATTTATGCATCCCTCCTTGTAACATACGGTGCAATCTTAAACAGAGTAACATTCTTCTAAGCCCATTGAGTTCAATGGAGAATGGTGTAACTCTGTTTAGGATTGCACTGCAAGCCAGTTGACTGAACTGGTGCTTCCGTGTAGGAGATAGACATGTGACTGTCATGATCTGAGCAATTGTGACAGATTTAAAAAAATGATGATTGTCTGTATAACAGTGTCCATCCCCACTGACCCCATTCTCACTTTCAAGGCCCCCAGTTCATACCAATGAATCCTTGCAAGACCACCAACAGCCCCATGGATGGAAAGCAACCCTAAAGATGATTTATGAGGCAGTTCTTAAATACTTTCCCTAAGCAGGCTTGTTAATAAGGCTTTTTTGTTGAGCAGTTATATCAATGTGTTACGAGAAGAATTCTGTGAAGTACAAGCTGTGGCCCGTGAAGGGGGGAAATTGTCTTTTTAATAAGATTCAGTGAATATCAGACAAGGATGTATTTGTGCAAACAAAAATAATATAATTCAGAACGTTATATTTGCTGTCATCTGTTCTTCGCTTTTTACACTTTCCCTAGTGTTTATGTGACTTTATGTTTCCATAGGGGATGCTGATTGAAGGACCACCAGGGCCTCCAGGACCTCATGTATGTATTTGATTTTAAACTTCACGGTCATTTTAAAAATCATGTCCATATCAATCGGTGTGCTTGTTGTTTTCATGGTGACTTGATAAAATGCATGCAGGTATTCAGCTTAGCTTCTCATGGGCCGTGTGACTTTGTTTCCCCAGTGGCAACAGACTGCGAATTCTTCACATATTCACAAATTCTTGTTCCTTTTTGAGAAATCAGCACCTGGCTCCCAAATAAAATGTTTCGTTATTCCTCAGTCCCAGATTGGTAGCAGTCTGAAGCTATTGTGGAAAGTTATGCAGAACAGTCACTTAATGTTCTTTTTATTTATAGGGTCTTATGGGTCCTCCTGGCACACAAGGTCCCACAGGTCCTGCTGGTGACCCTGGTGATAGGGTAAGTCAATGTGTGCTTTGTGGGAGAGCGTGAGAAGACATGATGTTCCAGATTGGATGGTTAGGCATCTAACAGCTGTGGTTTATGAAACCAACATCTCAAACAATCAGAGCTGATATAACACATGGGGTTTCAGCTCTGCTGGGGGAAAATGGATTCAAGGTTGGATCTACCCAGCACAATATTTTCTGTCTATCACATATTTATCTAACCTTCCCTCTTCCTCCATTTTATTGTCATAACAGCCTGGTGAGATAGGCTAGGCTAAGAATGAGAGTGATTGGCCCGAAGTTGCACAGTAAGCTTCTTTCATGATTGGACCTCTGGATCTTCCAAGTCCTTGTATTACTAATTACTATACCATGCAGACTTTCATATTTGGGTCTCTTATCTGATCTCTTTCATATCAAAGCTGGTATTCAGCAGAAATTTGGCTTGATCTCAAAAGGATTTATTAAATGCTATTGTATCAATATAGCATTAGGTTTCCCCCATGTCCATATGCCCAAGGCCTTAACTGCTAAGACCATAGCCCATTGCAGTCTTCAGACTGAAAATTGGGCCCTTGCTGGATGATACTGTTTTGAGGACTCCATGCATACACTGGATGTCATTACACATGTGCAGTGTTCTAGAGGTGGCTGGTCATTGAAACATAGGATGAAGGATACATTTAGGCTTGAGCTCCATGGATGATAGTTGACCTTTCAGAATCCCAAAATATTTATACATCTCTCTGTGGAATGCTTGTCCCTCTTTAGTGTGCTCAGAGTTGTTTTGGATGTGACAGTTCAAGGGAGAAACAGTTGTTCCTGAGTGTCTGTGTGACATCTGAGGGGAAATTTTCAATTTCCCTCAATGGGAAGACACTCAATCTTTAAGTGGAGCACTTGATGCCTACATTGGGATAAATTTTTCTTTTGACCAGATGGATAATTGCAAGGAACAGGAAGCAAATTCAGTTGCATTTCCTGTTTTGTCTGAACATTATTTCTGAAATGTCTATGTCTGCAGCTTAAAGGCATCATGGCATGATTAGGGCATACAGATGAAAGCCATTCTTTGTTGTTTGTCTGTAGCATCTGTTAAACAGACATACCATTCCCTTGAACACAGAAAGGACTGTGACCCATTAGTATACCATCTGCGGTACATGCAGAAGGTCTCAGGTACGATCCCTAGCAGGTCCAGCTAAAAGGACCCAACAGTATGTGATGTGTCTTCCTGAGGCCCTGGAGAGCTGCTCCCAGTCAGAGAAGGCAATGCTGACCTTGATAGACCAATGATCTGACACTGTATAAGGAAGCTTTGTGTGTTTATGTGAAGTTATTATGGATAACAGCCAGTGATATAGCTATCCTCCACAAGGTGACATGACTCATCCAAAGGGTACATTTCCCTATTATAGTAAAAGCTTACATTATTTTAAGAAGTAATTAAATAATTCATTTTAAAAATCTTAAAATTTAAATCATAGCTCTATTGTAATATTCAACACAGTATTTGGCATATTTAACTCCAGGCATAATGTAGTAACATTCTATGACTACTTTATTAATAGAAATTCAGGGTAACAGGGTTGAACCCTCTGAATATCTATGAAAGTAGATTCTTCTGATATCTGATGAGGCAAAGGACAAACTGGAGTGGAACTACACATTTCAGGCAGCACAAAAAAGTTCAGTGGTTGCTTTTCCTGAGGAAGAGTAGCTTTTAGAGGGATGAAATAGGAACAGAGAAATCACAGGAGTGAGAGTGCTTTCTCCAGCTACCACTGCTCCACTCCCAACTGCTGTTCCTGATGCAGCTTTGTCCTAAGGAAAAACATTTCTTTGTTTTTGTTACACACATGTGCATATAATCTATATTTAGGTCATCATTGTTTTTGTATCTGGGGGACCCTATACTCATTGCCCTCTAGGGACGTGGATGCCCCTGTCCCAAGTGACAAAAAAACTCAACCCTGCCCCAGTAAAGCTGTGGTTCACTTTGACTGCCTTGGATGTCCTCTCTGGTTATAAGGGGCATGCTTAAATGGACACAGGTTGCCAGACATGGGGGATAGATTTAGCTGTATTGCTCTGGCATTAATAGTCAAACATGGACGGGAGTAGCAGGAAAATAGGAATGGGTTTGAACCCCTTCACTCCACACTGAGACCCTTTGCAGGAGGGGAACCAGATGACCATAGAGGATGAGAAGGCTCCTCCACAGTATATTCCTCACAGACATAATTCAGAAAACATAATTCAGAATTATGAAAACATAATTCAGAAACAGTCTTAAATTAATTTGTTTAAAACTGCTGTGATTTACTGCTTCTTTGTCTTGTCACAACATCTTTTTAATGCATTTGTAGTTTGGTATAATTAACGAGATCTAATTGTATTCATACTGAGCATATTTCGTACTGCAAGTGATGTGGCATGAGTTCCACTTAGCATTACAAGTGACAGTTTAGTGAGCCCAGCATGCTGTTTGTGTCTGGAAGCCCCGCCAATACTACAGCTTAAATGGACATTATTGCTGAAACCTCACTATGAGACATGCTCCCACACAAACACATTCTGCAAGTGGGTGTTGTCATCAATACTTCTATATGCTAATTCATGATGGGTTTCCCTAATGCAAGGAAAAAGAGACTTAGGAAATTGCATAGCTCTCTACAGACTGGCAGTCAGAGCTCTGTACAAGTCTTTCACACTCAATGGTTGTAATTTAATTTTTTTCTTTATGCATAATAAGTAATTAGTGAACTTAGGCCCAAACAACACATTATGTGCAAATACATCATAAGGTGGCCTGGTGGATTATTTAGGTGCGGAAGAGTTACTCCTGTGGAGTTGATTGGAAGCACCAAAGTAGTAGGGGTAAGGGGCAACATCATTTTCCTGCTTTTTAAATTTCCTAGCTCCAGTTTTCTACTCAGCATTAACCCCCCCCCCCCCCCCCCCACCCACTCTCCCAGTAGGCTTTTTGGCCTACAAGAAAGAGATTCAAATAAGACTACTTTAGACATGCCTTATGAAATATTTGTGGTTTTGTTTTTGGAAAGAGTCAGTGTTCTCTCTTCCCCAGCACTTCTCTCCTCCTACTCACATCCACTGAAGGACTTTTCTTCTTGTAAGCAGGCTGTCTGGCTACTGTTGCAAAGGTTTGTGTATAAAGCATAGTTTGAGTCTTTCTGAAACAATGCTTAAAATTCCCAATTGAGAAATTAGGAAACCTTTACGCCAGTTCAGATGCTTCATGAATTCTTCCACTTGGAACAGCTGCAAGGATGGTGTCAATGTATGATGCTTTCTGAGATCCTTTTAACTGGAGATGCCAATGACTGCCTCTAAGACCTTTTGTCTGCAAATTATGTGCTTCCCCCACTGAGCTGTTATATACATTGTTTTCATACATCATGAAACAGACTGTGGAGGGGATGAAGTCCAGAGATGGTATGATGCAGAGATGTGTAAAATTTGAAAGCATGGAGGGAGATACCTTGCTAGTGTTTGGCAGAAGATAATGGAAGGCAGTTCCATCAGCAGAGCAGAACTTTGATGCCCCCTCTGTTCCTACTGCAACCCATCTATCTCCCTGAATGGCACGAGGGGCAAATTGGGGTCTGTAGCAGAAAGGGGGATTTGGCAGAAATTACACCTCCTGTTAGCAGAAAATTTAGTAAATTTAATCTGGATCCAACACTATGAGAAATTAAACACATATTCAGATGTTCAGGAGCTGGGAATGAGCACTGTATTCTCTCAGGAATAGGTCACAGTCCTTATTTGTGTTGTTTCTTCGAAGCACACCATATTGCCATGGTCTCCTGTGCAGAGAGCAGCCCTTAAAGTTAAATTTAAAAAAAAAAATGCAGAAAGAGCGCAGCTTAAGACCGTTTTGAATATGCAAAAAAGGCAATTGAAAATATGTTTTCTATTACTTGCACATTGTCCCAGCAAAAATATTTCAGTCATGTAACTTTCTGCCTTCACCTCTTCTAGGGTCCACCAGGACGTCCTGGTCTTCCAGGTGCTGACGGCTTAGCAGGACCCCCGGGTACCATGTTAATGTTGCCGGTAAGTTGTTTCTTTGCCCTTCCATTCCATCCTTTCCAGAAACAAATGGGCCTTTCTGGGTTGAATTATTATTAAACTCTGGGATTTTTAAACTGATCACCCAGTCCTAGACTGTTAAACAAAGAATAGAAATTAAGGAATCATATTATAGTACAGTGATGCAGCCAAGGAGACCTTTGCCTGAAAACTTCACTGCATTTAAACCATAAAAGAAAATCTGCTTTTTATGAATTATATCAAAATTCTTGTATAATGTTTTCATGGTAATGTCTTAGACTGGACATTTTCTTTGTTGGGAATCTTTTAAGACAGCAAATACCAATTTCAATTAGGCATGTGCACCTCAAAAAAAAGTCAGTATTTTTCATATTTGGATTTCAGGGAACTGAAAAATTTTGATATTCCTGGTTACCCAGTTTCCAAATGCCAATTTGATATTTGGAACTGGGCTTTTTTGGGATGCCAATATTATTTGGCTCTGGTATTGTTATGGGGAATCTTTTTAGTGGGCTGGAGGGGTTGTTTTTCAAGCGAATGGTACCAAAATTGCTTTGGAGCTGCTGGTTCCTATTGTTTAAATAACCCCCTAATTTCAAGTGAATTGAACCAAGACCCTGAATTCTTTGAGATCCTGAATAAAGCCTGCCGAGCCATCCTCCATTGTTTCCTAGGGTGGGGGAAATACTAAGTCTTCTCCTGGGCAAACAGTAACCAAACACTCAAGATCAAGCAAAACAACCACTGGCCAAAAGCCTCTGAATGTGGACAGAACTAGAAAGCCCAAAGAACCAACATAGAACCAGGGAATCCCAGCAGAATGGCAAACCAATATGGCAAGCCCAACAGAAATAATGTCAAACCAAAGAATCACAGCAGAACAAACTTAAGCCGGAGGACACTTTTGCAAGGCCAACAGAAGCAGTGTCAATCCACAGAAGCCCAGCAGAGCAAACTTAAGTTGGGGGATGCTTTTTCAAGGCCAACAGAACCAGTGTCAATCCACAGAAACTCAGAAGAACCCAGGGCGAATGTGGAAGTGCAAGCCCAACAGGACCAATGTCAATCCACAGAAGCCCAGAAGAACCAGACACAGCTAGGCAGACTTATAGAACACACACACACACACACACACTAACGTCAGTGCTCCTTAACATGTGATCCCACTTGCCTGTGACATCACCCTCCCCCTCCTGTTGCCTGCAAAATGTGCAAAAGGGAAAAAAATTAAGCTGCTTTGGATTGCTGGCTTCGATATACCTGAACATATCTGTATATATTCAGCATTGGATTTGCCGGCTTTGGAAGAGAATCTCTGGTATGTATTTGGATCCAGAGATACCTGAAAAATATAGGTCCCGGTCACACGGGCAGGAAACTGCGGGGGGGAAGTGTGGCAGTTTGCCCCGGGGCAAACTAAGGCGCGGTTACCTGATCAGACCTCCCGTGGAGGTACTGTGGAGGTTCCGTGGGAAAGGAGAGGTGCCGATCGCAGACCAATCCCGCGCGCAAAAACGAAGTGCGCGGTGCGGCAAACTGGAAGGTTTTTTTTTGTTTCCACCATAATTGCGCATGCTCCGTTGTGTGCTTTTGCGCATCCACAAAGACTAGAAGAAAAAAAAACTTTTTCGCCAGGGAACATGGGCGGGCGCCGGATGCCACCGGAAACGTGATCAGACGCCCGCCCTTGCCCCGCAGTTTCCGGAAACTAGTACCTCGGAGGTACTAGTTTTTTGCCGCGTGGTTTCGGCAGGAAGCCTCGTTTGAGCCACGGGAGTGCTACACTTCCCAGATGTGCCGGTGAGATCACGCCTGGAAAACCCGCATGTCTTCCGTCTGACTCGCATGGCTAATGTTCCGTGTGACCGCAGCCTTAGATGCTTTTTCCCCCAGATATATTTTTGTATTGGATATATATGAGTGCACATCCCTAATTTTAATGGAGAACTCTGTATTTGAATCATGACTCTTTTCTGTGCTATCTCACCTGCTTTGTAGAAAATAATAGATAGAGGACCCAAACATGGGAGATGAGGGGGGAAAGTAGGAAGGTTCATTGAGGCTTTCCTGATTTTAGAGTAGTTATCAGGAGGAAACCAGTCACAGGATAAAAAAGCAGTCAAATGAAATTCCCATTGATTTATAATCAGCAGTGTTTGTTAGCTCAAAGTGGACAAAGGATAACAATGAAAGACTTGGGCAAATTGATAGAAATGATGGCTCTGTATCAGTACATACTCTAAGCCATATTTGACCTTCACTGCTGGTAAGTCTTCAGATCTGAAACATGTTCCTTATGTCTGTATACCAGCCAAGTGTGACTATAGGGATTTGATAATAAAGAGGATTGCAATAGTTTCAGGAATGATGCAACTTCAGGCTTGTCACATTTAAGATTGCCAGTTACTGGTTAGTTATAACAAACAAGACCACGGTGTAATGTAACCAGCAAAACAATAAATCACCGTGTATGAGTATACAATATAAGCAAATATTTATATATAATGCTTTTGAAATTAAATTGTCAGCAAAATTACAACTATAACAAATTAAATGCAATCTTAGGCTTGACAGTACATATGAGACACTACAGTATAATTTTAGACAAACAACGGATATCTAGTATAAGTCCGTTTACGAATCCTTCTTCAGGTTTGTCGTCTGTTTTCTTATCTTCAAACAAATAAAGTGCTGCAAGCATTATTTCACAATGTAAATTTCATATACAGTTTTTTGTAGCTGAGGGTAGCTGAGCCAAATATCACATTGTAGACTCTGTCACATGAGAGCATGATAGGAGCTCCCCAGTCACCAGATTAAGCGTGAAAACGTACAAAAAACTGTATATGAAATTTACATTGTGAAATAATGCTTGCAGCACTTTATTTGTTTGAAGATAAGAAAACAGACGACAAACCTGAAGAAGGATTCGTAAACGGACTTATACTAGATATCAGTTGTTTGTCTAAAATTATACTGTAGTGTCTCATATGTACTGTCAAGCCTAAGATTGCATTTAATTTGTTATAGTTGTAATTTTGCTGACAATTTAATTTCAAAAGCATTATATATAAATATTTGCTTATATTGTATACTCATACACGGTGATTTATTGTTTTGCTAGTTACTGGTTAGTATCTTACAGATCTGACTGGTAACACCATATTCTGTCAGGTAGTTAGGTTTCTAATATGAAAAAACAGTCAATGTTCAAGAGAGCCTTTGGATTTAGAGGGAAAAGAGTAAGGTAGTTAATACCAAATGTAATTGAAAGCTGAGGTTTTAGTTGAAGTGTATATTTTGAGCATGTATCAACATGGTATAAAGTGAGCAGCAAGAAGAAACAAACAACAAAAATGTGGGGGAGGAGGGGAAACCGCCTGAAGGGGGGGAGAGGAACCCACCCAGCAAGTAAGTGGGAAGAGACAGTTTCCTTTCTTTTGTTTTGAGATAAACCCTGACTCAAGGGAATCTGAAGTGACTGCCTGTTTTCAGTCAGTCAACATTTCTGAAGAGCTTCCAGCAGGTCTGTGCCTTAACTTCAGAGATATATTAAGGATAAATCATTTTGAGAGGGTGAACAGCTACTTAAGGGGGGGGGAAACTTCCTTAGAAAAGTAATTTATGTTGAAACGTATGAAGAATAAAGGATACTGTCTCTTCTGTCACATTTGTTGGTTTTCTCCTGCAACTGGGCTTTCTTAACTAGCCACAGTGCCTTTCATTCAACTTTCTCTTCAGGTCTGTACATTGCAAGGCAGAAAAAAAATGCTTCTTTTTCCTAAGGAAGCTGTTCTCTTTGTTATCTTGGAAAATGAATGGCTGTTTCAAGTGTCTTCAGTCTTGTTTGCTTTTTTATCTTTCCATGTAGTTCCGTTTTAGTGGAGGTGGTGAGAAGGGCCCACCAATCTCTGCTCAAGAGGCTCAAGCACAAGCTATTCTTCAACAAGCCAGGGTAAGCATTAAATGTGCAGAGATGATGGAGAGACCATCAATGGCTAATAGGCAAGTTGAGTGAAGAAGCTTCACCGTCTGACCTTGTGATGTTCCACTCAGATGGTTCCAACAGAACATTCCAGATTTTCCACACATACATGCACACTGCTCTCCACAACCACTGAAGGTGGTTTAATGGATAGCTTCGGACCAAGCAAGCATGGGTTCCAATCTACCCTTAGCTGTAAGAAGCTTGGACAAGTTAGTATATTTCATGCTAATGTACCTCATGAGGATAGAACAGGGAGACCCTGTGGATTTCCCCCTGATTTCTTTGCAGAAGGGACAGGATTAAAAAATAAAATAAAATAAAACATTTTGGAATGCTTCCTCCCCTGCCCCCTGGAATGCTTTCTGGGATTCCTAGGATAGTCTTCAGGTTAGTGGGGTTTGGTTTTTCCTAACAGCTATCTTCTTTTATGTATATCAGTTCTCAGACCCCATCTTCACCTCTTGAGAAGTTGCTGAATATCACTGGCAGCATGTTACAGCTGCGGCCTATCGATATTTTTTTTGTTCATGACACCTACCTATGAACGACAACCAGCTCTGTAAATCTCATCTTCTGATAAGTGCTGTCAGCAGTTTAGTGTGTGTTTATCTTGAATTCTTATTTCTTTTTCAAACCACAGATTGCCATGAGAGGGCCACCCGGTCCTATGGGACTCACTGGAAGACCAGGTCCTGTGGTATGTTAAACTAAGAAACAAACAGTCAGTGCCCAAAGTAATCACTTTGATGTGTTATCCTGGTTGTAGTATCATTCTTTTTCAGCAAGGTGTTTTTCAGGAGTAGTGAAAGCTGGAGTATATCACCCTGTGTTTATGTAAGGCTGTAATTCAAGTATGGTTTCCTGTACAGAAAGTTCCATTGAAGTCAGTGGAGGAAGTATTTTTAGGATAAAAGCTGGGGCAAATATAGAAAGACACAGAACTTGTCCACTTCTGGTCTCTCTTCCACTGCGTTCATAAACAAATTGATAACAAATGAAAGTACAGGATGGAGCCATGGTGGCCAACTCCCCAGTCTCAGAATTTGCTCTGGGGGCAAGCTGTATCTTTTGTAGTGCTAGGATTTTACCTATGATTTGCTGCCACACTTTATGATCAGAAAATTAACCAGTTATGTCTGTTGCTGTGTGAAGACTAACACAGCAGTCCCCCATTGTCCTAAATCTGAAGAGGGGACGAGGGCATATATCTCCATTGTTAAGGTATCCAGGCCAACAGTCCCTGCCTTGTTACTGCTGGTCAGTGCTATATAGCAAAACTTTCACCCCCGTTCCTGCTTTAGTTCATAGTTACACATGATTAGCTGTGGCTAGATGGGAATGGAAATGTGCATTTGGAAACACATCCAAATGCACATTTCCATTCCCATCTAGCCACAGCTAATCATGTGTAACTATGAACTAAAGCAGGAACGGGGGTGAAAGTTTTGCTATATAGCACTGACCATTGATCATACCCAACTGTGCTTCTGTATCCACATTCCGCCACAGTTCAACCACATGTAACTGGATAAGGGTGAGGGAACATTGACCCAACTGTCCTGGCAATGAGGACTCATTGCCTCTTCCCCTGACACTTGTTCTTTTGTAAAAGCTGCCCCTCCCTTTCTCAAACACTGAAAGGAGGGTGCTTTTTATAGAAGATGAAATGCTTCATTGCTTCAGCTCAAGTTATGACCGTGATAATGATTTCTTTCTCCATGCTTATGCTACTTTATCCTAATTCTAGAGCAGCCACCCATTTAAATATTTTAAGAAATATTTATTTGCAACAAGGAGTGCCTTTGATTCTCCAGCTGGATATATTTCATATCATGTGTGTGTCTAGTGCCTTTATAGATAACCATTATTATGATATACATCATTTTCTGGAAAATATGTTTAATGGGTGGGGTTGTAATCTTCTTCCCTTTGTTGTTGATGCTGACAACTGACAAAACTGTACCCTAGAACTCCCATCCTCCCTGAAAAATTTAAGAAAACTCAGCACTAGTTAAAGCCTGTTTATCTATGAGATCTAAAGTAGGTGCTTATTGTAGACAGTACTTGTGAGTAAAATTCCTGTCATATGTTAAATTATTTATTTTCCTGAGTATGTTGAGAATATATATGAACCTTTTGACCATGTTATTATTTGTTATATGTTGACAGTTAACTGTCTGCAATTTGGGGGACAGGCAAAACATACTTCCCTTAAATCCTTAGGCTACCATTACAAGTTGCAGGTTTTGACCCAGTGCCAATACTACTCTGGACTTGAGTGAATCCGTTCATGTCATCTCAAATATGAATGGCTGTCATTCATTCATATAGGGAAGGTAGAGGTGAACTGAATCCATGACTGAACAAGTTTGATGCACAAAAGGCAAGTCCCCGCCAATATCTTTTTTGTACCATTTTGCTCAGCTTCACTACAGTCTGCTTCCTCCCTTAGCCACTGCTTTGGTGTCAATTCTCTTTTAAGAAAAGAAGGTTTAGCTGCTTGTGGCCATATGGTACACAGTCAACTGGAGATAATATATCCAGTGTGATGAGGACATGATGCCACATAGCCTTTATGACAGATCCCTGCTCGTTTGGTTCTGTGAGGCAGATTTTTCCACCCAAACAAAACTGCTAAAATGTTATTCCCCACTCTGTGACTGAGCAGCCCCCTTGTAGCATGTGTTAATAAAAGATTTATAATTTTCTGCATGTCCCACCCTGTAGTAGTGAAGTTATTTGGGTTTTGCCCAGGCCAGATATTTATTGTAGAAAAGCAGGAGCCCTCTTGTTATCCGCTTGGTATATGGCACTTAACATGAAGTAAAGTTCAAACAGGAATTGTGATTTTATTAAACAGGCACCATTGGGTTAGGAATAGGCAGGGGACAAGAAAACTGAGGTAAATCTTGTAGTATTTGCAGTTGATAATATTTTGCATTGGCGACAGAGTATTGTTGAGCTTATTTTCTTAGAAACTCAATTCTTAACTGTGAGAGGTTTGTTTGTCTCGGAGATTTCTTAATAGCAACAATGTATCTTTAAAAGATTCATATATCTTAGTTTCCTTGTTCCCTCTAAGCTGTAGAGTCTTGTGAGCAGAAATTCTACTTTGTGAGCTACTAGCATTAAAACTGTGAGCGAGCGATTTGGCCACTGCATCAATTAGTCTGCTCTGGAGCCATCCCTTCCTGAGCGAAGACAAAGATCTGTGAGCCGGAGGCTAAAAACCTGTGAGCTAGCTCACACTAACTCAGCTTAGAGGGAACACTGCTGGAGGCTAATACTTCTTTCCTGTTAGGGTTGCCAGGTCCTACCTGGTAGCTGGCGGGGGGCTTCCGGGTCCTTTCCAGGATCTTCTGCTGCATGTGCTTTGCACGCATGGTAGGATGATGTCACTCGGAAGTGACGTCGTCATGCTGCCAATGTTGAGGGGTGATGCTGTAGTTTTTGGGCAAACTCTATGGGTTTTTTGCCTTCAAAACCATAGAGTTTGCCCAAAAGCTAGAACATCACCCCCCCCCCCAATGGCAGTGACATGATCATGTCACTTCTGTGTGATGTCATTGCATGATGTCCCTGTTTGGGGGTGGGGTTTTCCTTGCCAGCCATTTCATTTCAGCCCAAGCTATGAAAAAAAATACCCTGGGCACATAGCAAAATTGCCATTGATATGATGCCAGGTGGGGAGTAGAGGCTGGACCTGTATATTACAGAGATATTATTAAAGGTACTCTCTTCCCTCCTTTTCCCATCTGTTATACCAATGGGAATTATTTTCTTTGCTCATAATTATTTCTTGATGGATAGTGATGTGTAAAAAAAGAAACAGAAGTTGGATGACAAATGGAAGAAGAACTGCAGAGTTCTATAATGCACACTTATAGGATGTATATATGACATTTGCCAGTTTTTGTAACTGTCCTCGAATTATAACAAAAGAAGCATTCCAGCTCTGCAGTTTCTAAATCACCTTAGTAATTTTCTCCTAATGATGGTTTCCTCTTTTACAAAACTAATACAGTGCTGACAGAAGTAATCAAATGATTCACTTAAATGCTGCTGTTAAGCAGTCACTATCTTTTTAAAAGCTCTCTGGGTGTATTTACAACAATATAAAATGATAGTCCATACGTCCAAGATTACAGGCTTTGCATAAAGCCAGTAGTTTTCCAAGGAACCTCAGTAATTACACTGTTAAAAAAAAGAAGACATACACAGCAAGGGTCAAGAGGAAGCATAGTATTCAAAGTGAAAGGATATATTTAGTTCCTAATGCAGTGTGCAGTGTTTCTGAATGGCAAGACCCTGTTGGCCATTATTGGGCCTCTAATGTAATCCCTGGAAATCTTTGTGCTGCGGAACACTGAAAGCAGATACAGCACTCTTGCTAGAGCTCAACAAAATCTGTGCCTGGCTGGTGCATGGGTTGGAAATCTCTTTGGAAATCCATACTGGTGACTTTGAGTTCCACGAATGAAGAAAAACACAATATAAATGCTATAAAAAATAAAATAAAGTGAAAGGGAATCTTTAATCTCTTGCTCCCCAGAGTGAATACCTATATAAGCTTTGCAGGGTACGATGCAGACAAATGGGAAGAACCATAATAATATGAAGGTTCTACCAAAATTTCTAGTATTATTCCCATTGGCTAGCATAATGTTAAAGAGTACACTTTCTAGTGCTTGCCATATATGGGACTGAATTATTAATGAAGTGAATGTCAGCGACCCTTTCCAAATTCTGATTTCTTGTTAGTAGTTTGATGTTGGGTAGGGTCTTAGAGCAGCAAGTATGATAATTTGTTGTTCCTCAAGAATCTGCTGAAGGTATTTTTTGTGGGGCCTGGCTCTGTGGAAGAGCATCTGCTTTGCATAGGGGAGCTCCAGGTTGGAAATCTCTTTGGACCTCTGGGACCTCCAGTTAAAAAATCAGGTATTAGGTAATGTGAGAGATCTCTGCCCAGGACCCTGTAGGACCAACTGCCAGTCAAGGTGGACAGCACTGACCCCGATAAACCAGTGGTTTGGTTCAGTTTAAAGTAGTTTCATGTGCACTGTTTTTTCACAAGCTAAACTGATCCTACTTAATAGGAGTTCTCAAATATTTTCCCCAAGATGCTTCTTTTGCATCAGCAGAGCTTAGACAAGTGTCTCATGCAAGAGGCAGGAGGGAGTGATTTAACCTCTTCCTCCCTTCCCACTGCAGCCTTCTAACCTACATGGGTGTTACTCTGTGTAGGAGGGAGTGATTTAACTCTGCCCTCCCTTTCCACTGCAGCCTTCAACTGACCTGCATGGCTGTTACTCTGTGTAGGAGTGATTTAACCCCTTCCTCCCATTCCACTGCAGCCTTCTGATCTGCATGGCTATTGCTCTGTGTGGGTCCCTTGACCCTGGGGGTAAACTTCCCTGAGGTCAGGAATGGTTGCTTGGGGGCAAGGAAACTATGAAGACTGGTGACTCATGGGATCCAACCCATATTCTTTTCAGTCTTCTATTATGTATTTCATTTCCCCTTGGGTTATAGACTGGTATTCATATGATAGGGATTTAGGCACTTGTGAAGCCTGATCATATGTTGCCAGAAACCTCTTGCCTACCTGAAAACACCTATAGTAATTGCTAGTCCTACTACATCCATTATAGTAGATGATGGTATTTCAGGAACACCAGGAAGCTACTATTTTTCCCAAGGCTCTTCCCTCCTCGCTGCTCAACTATCCTGAAGATAAAGTGTCCCATTTTATTTTGTGTTCATGCAATAATGGAAGAGAGATTTTTCTCTTCTTCACTGACAGTGGAGTATTATAGTAAATTGCTTTCCTCCCCCGATAATTCTTGTTCCTTGCTCCATGTAATCTTGTCAGTAGCCCATAGTTCTCTGAGTGGGAGAACTTTTTTTTTTTGGCCCCCATTCAATTCCACATTATCAGGGTAACATTCTGGGCAGCCACTGATAGCAGAGTAAATTTTGTACCAGAAGGCAGCTTGCAACCTGGCCTCCACACCATTGTCCATCACACGTTTGGTGTAGTGGTTAAGAGCAGTGGACTCTAATCTGGAGATTCCCCACTCCTTCACATGCAGTGAACTGGAAGACCTTGGGTCAGTCACAGTTATCTCAGAGCTCTCTCAGCCCCACCTACCTCATAGGGGTGTCTATTGTGGAGAGAGGAAGGGAAGAAGATTGTAAGTCACTCTGAGACTTCGAGTGAAGGTGGGGTATAAATCTAATTTTTCTTCTTCTTCTTCTTCCTCCTCCTCCTCCTCTTCCTCCCTCATAAAGCTGGGTAAGAGCCAAATGACAGCTTCTCAAATCTGGACAACATTTTATCAAGAGCTCAGTTGTATTTTTCAAAGTAAGATGTACTGAGGCTTTCTCGAAACAAAGGGATTCAGAACAGACCTGTACAGCTCGTGTCCCACCAAGCCAAATGCAGTTTATTGTGGGGCCTTGCCAGGACACCCACCCTGCTTTATGTTACTTTGAGGTTCTGTGTTACTTTGAGTTTGGTAGGTCAACATTGTGTTGATCTGTTTTTACAGAACTGAAATCTTGAATTACAGAATTGAAATGCATTTTACACTTCAGAATGTGAAAGAGGCTATATTAAAAACTTGATGTTATTATTTAATTTTCTTTTCAGCCACTAGGAGGCTTTAAAAAGCCAGTTGCTTCAATTCAGAACATCAACGGAAAAAAAATGATGTATTATGATTATTTTTAAGTCTTAATTTCTCTACATCCCTTGATACACTACAAAGAAGCCTGAATTTCAGATAAGCAGATTGCAACTATTTTATGCCCACAACAGCATTGTGATTATGTTTTGGAAACCTAGTCCTTAATCACAGGGTCTTTTGTTGTATGGCTCAATTTACGGTATTAGCTGTCACATATAAAGCCTTTCATGGACTTGGACCCTCATATCTGGGAGACCACCTCTCCACCTGTGCCTCCGCCATGACAGCTTTGCATATCTGAGCAGGGTCTTCTGCAAGAGCCAACCTGTAAATGGGCAAAATCAACAACTGCCCGTTCATGTGCCTTCTCCATTCTGGCTCCCACCTTATGGAATGGCCTGCCTGAGAAGGTCAAGAAAGCTCCCACTCTCCTGGCTTTCCACAAACTATACAAAACTGAATGATTCAAGAGAGATTTCCTGTGGTGGCGGCAGAGCTGCAATATGCTAAATGTTTCCCAGAGTCCGTGGATAAATGATTGGGGACTTTGATCTATACTACTTTCAGAGGTCATTTCGGGGGGGAACGCAGTTCCCCCAGGTGAGGTGCAGGGGGG